GACTGTTAGTCTATAGACTGTTAGTCTATAGACTAGAATGTAGACTAAACTATATGCTAGACTATAGACTAAACTATAGGCTAAAATATAGACTAAACTATAGGCTAGACTATAGACTATTAGTCTATAGACTAGACTATAGACTAGAATATAGACTAAACTATAGACTAGACTATAGACTAAACTATAGGCTAGACTATAGAGTGTTAGTCTATAGGCTAGACTCTAGACTAAACTATAGACTAGGCTATAGAATAGACTATAGACTGAACTATAGACTAGGCTATAGAATAGACTATAGACTAAACTATAGACTAGGCTATAGAATAGACTAAAGACTAAACTATAGACTGGTCTATAGACTAGACTATAGACTAAACTATAGACTAGGCTATAGACTAGACTATAGAGTAGACTATAAGCTAGAGTAAAGACTGCACAATTGTTCATTCTATAGACTATATAATAGTTCTTACTACAATTCAGACTATAGACTAGACTATGTTCCAGACTATTGTCTAAACTAGTCCATACTACGGACATAGCTACTAACTAGGCTTTAGTTTAGACTTTAGACTTTAATATTGTTCAGACGATGCAATATAGACCAGACAGTAGAGTAGACTAAAGACCAGACTACAGCCCAGATTATAGTTCTTGCTGTTAAAGAAAAGTCTATAAGAAGACTATATCCCATAAGAATCTGAAGATTTCACTTTATCCTTAACTGTACAAAAAATATATATGCAAATTTTGAAAATAATGTTTTTAAATAATTTTTTACTCCCTGATATTTACACATTGGAACAGTATTTTCATTATGCGAATGAGAAAAAAATGCAAATTTGTTTATTTCTACATTTAAGAAAAATGTACAGAAGACTAAAAAATAACAATAATATTTCACTCTTAAAAAAAGAGATCTACCTGTCTGTATTTTTAACTAGTAGGAAAGTAATGTTGATCTTAACCGAACTGAAGATGAAGTACACCTGTCATGTGACCAATAAACTAATGTTAACAATTTTGTTTATATTAATAGATGTTGTTATAAAGATCTTAACTGTTTGGTAAAACCGATATCAGGGAGATAAAATATTTTCAAACTTAATGCATCTGGACCTAGAGACAAGTTTGTACAGATTTTATAAAAATGTAAACCACAACTCAGTTAGTTATTCGGTATAGTTTGACAAAATTTGAAGGTGTATATAGAACGATTATATTTTAGATGTTACAAACACTAGCACAAACTTGTAATGTTCTCCCCTTTTTAGTAGCATAGTGGATAATAATGTATACAGTCATTTAAGTTGCATGTTTGTGCGAGAAACAGCAACACAATATTAAGTGTGGGAAAATGATTTGAAGCATAAAGAGAAATATATAATTGTTGGCAACACATAGATACAGCAACAGAAAATATTTGTAGTGTGTAGCAAAAAAAATATATATTTAAAAAAATTGTATAAATGTAGGAATCAAGTTGTTAAATAATAAAATACTACTAAGTAGTAGTAAATAGTTATAACAAAGCAAATAATGAAGAGGCGTTGAAGTTGAAAGTAAAATGCGAAAAAAAAGACAAAAAATTTATATAAATTACAGCTTTTAGGGTGAAATAAAAATCTGCAAAAAAAGTTTTTGAATATTTAATAACACTTTGAAATTTCCAATTAACAATATGATAAAGTTTTAAAACTAAAGCTTTATGAAAAAAAAAACTTTGATCTAAAACTAAATTACATAAAGTTATTTAAAAGAATATAACTTTTTATTATATAAATTAAATTTACTGTAAACAATTTAAATAATTTCTAATAATAAATATGAAATTTTATAGCCTTGAAATTTGATTGTTATTTTTTTGTTTTATAAAATAAATATTTTATTTTTATTTTTGGTATTTTTTTATTTTAATGGTTATGCTGTGAAACGTGCTTTCAATATTTTTCAAAATTTAGTTGGTTATGCATATAGTTTAATCCCTAAAATCCTTCATATAACACGTTCATTTTCTAAATAGTTAAAAATGTATATTTAAGCTAACGTTGGCATTTTGTTTAATTTAGAATTTAGAAATATTACAAATAATGCTAATGTCTAAATAATCCTTTTTGCAAAAAATGTAGTCTAGAAACTCTGTAACAATATGCAGCCCACACCAAATTTTGGCAGTAATGGTTGGAAGTGGCTAGATGAATCTTAACATAGTCACTCGACTACAGTTGTAGCCATAATCTAATGTCTAGTCTGAACTATAATCTAGACTATAGTCTGTAATATAGTATAGTCAACAGTCTGCACTATAGTCTAGTCTATAGTTAGGACTATATTCAGGAATATAGTCTAGTCTATAGTTAGGACTATAGTCTAGTCTATAGTAAAGACTATACTCTAGTGCATAGTCAGGACTATAGTCTAGTCTGTAGTCAGGACTATAGTCTGGATAATAGTCTAGTCTATAGTCAGGACTATAGTCTAGTCTAAAGTCTGGACAATAGCCTAGTCCATAATCTAGACTATAGTCTAGTCTGTATTCTGGACTACCGTCTAATATATGGTCTTGACTATAGTCTAGTCTATAGTGTGGACTATAGTATAGTCTATAATCTGGACTATAGTCTAGTCTATAGTATGGACAATTGTCTATAGTTTAGTCTATAGTCTGGACTATAATCTAGTCTATAGTCTGGACTTTAGTCTAGTCTATAATCTGGACTACAGTCTTGTCTAGGGTCTGGACTAGCCTGCAGTATGGACTTTAGTCTACTCTATAGTCCGGATTATACTCTAGTCTATAATCTGGACTATATTCTAGTCTTTAATTTGGACTGTTGTCTCGTCTATAGTCTAGTCTTCAGTCGGGACTGTAGTCTACTCTAGATTGTCTGGACTGTAGTCTAGTCTATAATCAATACTATAGTACTTCTATAGTACTGGTCTATAGTCTGGAAAATACTCTAGCCTATAGTCTGGACTATAGTCTTGATTATATAGTCTGGACTGTAGTTTACTCTATATAGTTTGGACTATAGTTTAGTCTGTAATCAGGACTATATTCTAATCTATAGTAAGGAATATAGTCTAGTCTAAAGTCCACACTATAATCTAGTCTATAGTCTGGAGTATAATCTGGTCTATAGTCTGGCCTATCGTCTAGTCTATAGTCTGGACTATAGCCTGGATAATAGTCCAGTTTGAAGGCTGGACTATAGTCCAGTTTGAAGGCTGGACTATAGTCTAGTCTGAAGTCTGGACTATAGTTTAGTCTGAAGTCTGGACTATAGTCTAGTCTGAAGTCTGGACTATAGTCTAGTCTGAAGTCTGGACTATAGTCTAGTCTATAGTCTAGTCTATAGTCTGGACTATAGTCTAGTCTATAGTCTGGACTATAGTCTAGTCTATAGTCTGGACTATAGTCTAGTCTATAGTTTGGACTATAGTCTAGTCTATAGTCTGGACCATAGTCTAGTCTATAGTCTGGACCATAGTCTAGTCTATAGTCTGGACTATATTCTAGTCTATAGTCTGGACTATAGTCTAGTCTATAGTCTGGTCTATAGTCTAGTCTATAGTCTGGACTATAGTCTAGTCTATAGTCTGGACTATAGTCTAGTCTATAGTCTGGACTATATTCTAGTCTATAGTCTGGACTATAGTCTAGTCTATAGTATGGACTATAGTCTAGTCTATAGTCTTGACTATAGTCTAGTCTATAGTCTGGACTATAGTCTAGTCTATAGTCTGGACTATAGTATAGTCTATAGTCTGGACTATAGTCTAGTCTATAGTCTGGACTATAGACTAGTCTATAGTCTGGACTATAGTCTAGTCTGTAATCTAAACTATATTCTGGTCTAAAGTCTGGACCATAGTCTGTACTATAATCAAGTCCATAATTTGGATTATAGGCAAGTCCATGGTCTAAACTGTAGTATATTCTATAGTCTTGAGTAGTCTATTTGGACTATAGTCTAGTCTATAGTATTGACAATTGTAGTCTACTCAATATAGTTTGGACTATAGTCTATTCTATAAACTGGACTACAGTCTGGAAAATACTCTAATCTCTAATCTGGACTGTAGTGAAGTCTATATAGTCTAGAATATGGTCTATTCTTTAGTTTGGACTATAGCCTAGTCTGTAATCTAGACTCTATTCTAGTCTACATTCTGGACCATAGTCTGTACTATAATCAATTCCTTAGTCTGGAATATAGGCTAGTCCATAGTCTGGACTATAGTATAATCTATAGTCTTGACTAATTTGTCTTGTATAGTTTGTACTATAGTCTAGGCTATAGTATAGACAATTATCTAGTGTATAGCCTGGAATATAGTCTAGTCTATATTTGGAACTATAACCTATACTTAGGTCTAATTTATAGTCTGCACCACAGTTTAGTCTTTAGTTTGATCTGTATTGTATTGCATAGTTTGAACTGTTGTCTTGGAATGATATCCTAGTCTAAAGCCTGGGCTATAGTCTAGCCTCCAGTCCTGCCCCTATGATAATGTAGGCTATTATTTAAATTTTCACAACAACTAATAAAATTTAATTATGAATTTTCATTGAGCACTAAATGACTTTTTATGCTTCAGATACTAGTATTGCGAATAACACAATAATCAACAAACCATAATGATGATCATGTTAATGTTGTAAATTTGCATGTAAATTGTACGCTGATTCGTTATGAATTTATATAGAAAGTTTTTTTTTTATAAAATCAGCAGAAAGTGGGCAAGAGAAAAGTAAAATGTAATTTAATTCAAAATATTAGATTATTATGAAAAAATATATTTTAAATTTTTAATTAAAGTATTTTTCTTTTTGCAAAGTCTATATTAGTTTTAAGGGGTCGTTTTATTAAGCGATTTTCCAATAGTATCCAGAGGTTTAAAATTATGTAGCTGATTAGTTCTTTTGGGTTTAAAGCCTCAATATTTATTGGCTTGAGTTTTAAAGATTTAAATTAACTGTATTAGCAACTTACCACTTTATTTTATGGCAAAACGGTAAATGGTTTAATCTGAAAAGAAAGAAAATATAAACAATGATATTAATATCCAAAAGATATCGTACCGTAAAAATTGTCAAATGTTAAAACTTGAATCGGAGTTTGTTAAAAACTTATAATTCTCTTTTCTTTATTGGCAAATTACTTTAAATTTCTAACTTTCACAGCTGTTAAATGTTATAAGAACACATATACATATGTACATATATGTATGTTTATGTTTATGTATATTTATTTTTATGTTTTCACAGAAAAGTTTATACTTCATTAAATATTTGAAATTCATAAAATACAGGATTTAAATGTCTTTAGTTTCCTTACGCAGACATTCTCATTTAAGTATACATACATACAAACATAAAATATACAAACATTTATTTTCACTGGGGGCTTATAAATTTTCTTCAATACAATATTTATCCTAAATATACTATACACAGATTTGAATGTATGTATGTATCTTTTAGATACAGAATAATACGAATGTTTTGAATAGATATTCCTTATTATGTCTGATGCAAAAAGTAAATATCTAGAAACCAATTTAAGAACAAATATGAGCAATCATAGTTTAAGCAAATTTTCTGTACATAGGCACACACATACGCATCTGTGCATATGTATGTATTTGTAAATAATTTTCTACATAATATTAAACTTTAAATAAGGATTATAAAGGCCTAGTAATTTTCTCTATAAAATAATGTTTTTGTTCAAAAATCTATTCAATTCTAATGTTTTCTATTGACTTCTCTACCCAAAAGGTCTTAAGGGCATAATAAGCTTTTCTTTCATTCTTTAAACAATCATCTTAGTTTTGAAAAACAGTTTTTTTAAAAAAGTTGCTTACTTTGTGATTAGAGAGTTTAGAAAAAGGACCTTAAAAATTAAGTGAAATGAAAGTAAAAAGGTTTATGTTTATACATTTTCTCAATGACAAAAAAACAATTTGAAATCTTTATTGCAGAGTTTTATTTGTTACTAAATAAAAGGTTTTTTAACAATTAAATTTTTTGAGGCCTTTTATTAACAAAATTTGTCATATGAAATGAAATTGTTATCATTTGCCTTTTTTATTGGGATACAAAATTTATTTGGTATTTTTATTGCTATAGGTCATAATATGAAATTTATAAAAGAAGAAATTGTAAAAGGGTACAAAGACACCCTACACAAATTGTATTCTATAGACAGTTCTATATAAGTTTAGTATAGACAGTTCTATATACGTTTAGTATAGACAGTTCTACATAAGTTTAGTAAATACTCGAGGCTACAAATTGTTCCACATTAAAGACTATTCTGTAGTCGAGACAATGGTCTGTTCAGTAGTTGAGACTATATACTGTTTTATAGTCGAGACCAGAGATTGTTCTATAGTCAAGACCAGAGACTGTTCTATAGTCGAAACCAGAGACTGTTCTATAATCGAGACTATAGACTGTTCTATAGTCGAGACTATAGGCTATTCTATAGTCGAGACTATAGACTACTTTGTAGACGAGGCTATAGACTATTCTACAGTCGAGACTTTAGACTATTGTATAAACTATTCTATAATCGGGATTATATATCTATTGATCTATAGTCGAGACTATAGACTATTCTATACTCGAGACTATAGACTATTATATAGTCGAGACTATAGATTATTGTATAGTCGAGACTGTAGATTAGTCTATAGTCGAGACTATAGACTATTCTACAGTCGAGACTATAGACTATTCTACAGTCGAGACTATAGACTATTCTACAGTCGAGACTATAGACTATTCTATAGTCGAGACTATAGACTATTCTATAGTCGAGACTATAGACTATTCTATAGTCGAGACTATAGACTATTCTATAGTCGAGACTATAGACTATTCTATAGTCAAAACTATAGACTATTCTATGGTCGATACTATAGACTATTCTATAGCAGAGACTATAGACTATTTTATATTCGAGACTATAGATTGTTCTATAATCGAGAATGTAGACTATTCTATAGTCGAGACTATTGACTATTCTGTAGTCGAGACTATAGACTATTCTATAGTAGAGACTATAGACTATTCTATAGTAGAGACTATAGACTATTCTATAGTCGAGACTATAGACTATTCTATAGTCGAGGCTATAGATTATTGTATAGTCGAGACAGTAGATTAGTCGATAGTCGAGAGTATAGACTATTCTACAGTCGAGACTATAGACTATTCTACAGTCGAGACTATAGACTATTCTATAGTCGAGACTATAGACTATTCTATAGTCGAGACTATACACTATTCTATAGTCGAGACTATAGACTATTCTATAGACGAGACTGTAGAATAATCTATAGTCGAGTGTATAGACTAATCTATAGTCGAGTCTATAGACTAATTTATAGTCGAGACTATAGACTAATCAATAGTCGAGACTACAGACTAATCTATAGTCGAGACTATAGGCTAATCTATAGTCGAGACTATAGACTAATCTATAGTCGATATAAAGACTATTCTATAGTCGAGACTTTAGACTATTCTCAAGACTATAGACTAATATACAGTCGAGACTACAAGCTGTTCTATAGGTTAGACTATAGACTATTCTATAGTCGAGACTATAGACTATTCTATAGACGAGACTATAGACTGTTATATAGTCCAGACTATAGACTATTCTACAGTCGAGACTATAGACTATTCTATAGACGAGACTATAGACCATTGTATAGTCGAAATATAGACTATTCTATGGTCGAGACTGTAGACTTTTTAATAGTCGAGACTGTAGACTATTCTATAGTCGAGATTATTGACTATTCTATAGTCAAGTCTATTAACTATTCTATATTCGATTAAGATTTTTCGCTTTCATGTCCACTCTACACTAAATTAAAAAATCTCGTAACTCCTCAACAATTAGTTTTATCCCAATATCAATATCAAAATCAATTTTTCGATAAATGAAAATATTTGAAAAGCTGCAATTATGATTATGATAATAAATTTTTGATAACAAAAGAATGCAATTTTGGCATATGTATCACATATAATTAAAAAGGAGTCTGTTGAGAACTTTTCAATTTACAAAATTATGTGTTATAAACTAAGAAACTTTGACATTTGATATTATTGTTATGCGTGTATGTAGGGATGGTTATACAATACAAACATATGCATATTATTCAACTAGACAATAATACTTAGTTATCGATACTTATTCAAACATCAAACATATACAAACATCACAATATTCTAAAGTTATGCTTATTTCTAAACATATTTTCCACATCACGAATAATTTTCATTTTTATTATAACAATGAAATGTATATCAAGGAATATTGCAGCAACAATGATAACAACAACAACAATAGAAAAATAGAACTAATGTTACAGAATAATTCAACTATTGTACAAATTTGTTTATAACACTACTCAACAAAACAACATTTTATGAAAATTGAAATTTTTTACTTCAACACAAGTTTATATAACGCACATATGAATACATATGTATGTACATTGTACATACATATAAATCTATGTATGATGTATGTATTTATTTATCTGTTTGTAAACTCTAACACATTCAAAATAATTGACATATGTTTAAAATTTTTGTAATAATAGCAACCAATTTAACAATTGTGCAAGAACAATGTTCAAATTATGTTGGTATTATATTTTAGCTTTTTTTCACTGGTAACTAACATTTTATTAAAAAAAATGTTATTCAATAGTATTGTAAATGTGAATGAATAATAACATTTAAAATTAAACCAAAATTTCATGTATGTGGTGAATCAACTAAAAGGTTGGTTTTATTTTAAATATTATTTTGTTAGGGGATTTGAATACACATATATGTACTAGCAAAAAAATCGATAATATAAAGGCAAAAATATTATCAAAAGTTGGTTCAGACTATTCTTTAGTCTCGACTATAGACTATTCTATAGGCTCGACATTAGGCTATTCTATAGGCTCGACTATAAACTAATCTATAGTTTCGACTATAGACTATTCTATAGTCTCGACTATAGACTATTCTATAGTCTTGACTATAGACCATTCTATAGTCTTCAATATAGACTTTTCTCACTATTCTATGGTCTTGACTATAGGCGATTCTATAGGCTCGACTATAGACTATTCTATAGGCTCGGCTATAGACTATTCTATAGTCTCGACTATAGAATATTCTATAGGCTCGACTATACACTATTCTCGACTATAGACTATTCTATAGTTTAGACTATAGACTATTTATAGTCTTGACTATAGACTATTTAATAGTCTTGACTACAGACTATTCTATAGTGTTGACTATAGACTATTCTATAGTAATATTGTCTTGACTACAGACTATTCTATAGTAATATAGTCTTGACTATAGACTATTCTATAATCTTGACTATAGACTATTCTATAGTCTTGAGTATAGACTATTCTATAGTCTTGACTATAGACTATTCTAAAATCTTGACTATAGACTATTCTATAGTCTTGACTATAGACTATTCTATCGTATTGACTATAGACTATTCTATAGTCTGGACTATAGACTATTCTATAGTATGGACTATAGACTATTCTATAGTCTGGACTATAGACTATTCTATAGTCTTGACTATTCTATAGTATGGACTATAGACTATTCTATAGTCTGGACTATAGACTATTCCATAGCATGAACTATTGGCTATTCTATAGTCTTGACTATAGACTATTCTATAGTCTTGACTATATACTATTCTCTTGTCATGACTATAGATTATTCTGTAGTCTTGACTATAGACTATTCTATAGTCTTGACTATAAACTTTTGTATAACCTTGACTTTAGACTATTCTATAGACTATTCTATAGTTTTGAGTCAAGACTATTCTATTGTCTTGACTGTAGACTATTCTTTAGTCTTGACTATAGACTATTCTATAGTCTTGACTATAGATTATTCTGGAGTCTTGACTATAGACTATTCTATATTCTTGATATGGACTATTTTATAGTCTTGACTATAGGCTATTTT